AAAGAACCAGCTCTTGGTTTCATTGATCTTTTGGATTGTTTTTTTAGTTTCAATTTCATTTATTTCTGCTTTGGTTTTTATTATTTCTTTTCTTCTACTGGATTTGGGGTTTTTTTGTTGTTCTTTTTCTAGATCTTTGAGCTTCGAGATTAGGTTGTTTCTTTGAGTTCTTTCTTGTTTTTTGATGTGAGCTTCTATTGCTATATATTTTCCTCTTATTACTGCTTTTGCTGCATCCCATACATTTAGGATATTGGTGTCCTCCATGTCATTCAATTCAAAGAATTTTTTAATTTCTTCTTTGATCTCCTCATTAGTCCACTGGTCTTCCAGTAGTGTGGCTTTTAATCTCCATGAGGTAGGATAGTTCCTTGCCTTCTTTTTATGATTTATTTCTAGTTTGATGCCTTCGTGGTCAGAAAAGATGGTTGGTATGATTTCAATCTTGGTGTATCTGTTGATGTTTGTCTTGTGCCCCAGTATGTGATCGATCCTGGAGAATGATCCGTGTGCGCTTGAGAAAAATGTGTACTCCGTTTTTTTTGGGTTTAGTGTTCTATAGATGTCTGTTAAGCCCAAATGCTCTAGGTCCTTATTTAGAGCTTTAGTTTCTTTACTTATTTTTTGTCTTGTTGATCTATCCATTGTTGATAGTGGTGTGTTGAAGTCTCCCACTACGTATGTGTTTTCTCTGATGTCTGTTTTCAGAGAGGACAACAGTTGTCTGATATATTTTGGTGCTCTTTCGTTTTTTGAGTATATGTTAATGAGTGTTATTTCTTCTTGAAGTATTGTCCCCTTAATCATAATGTAGTGACCATTGGGGTCTCTTTTTATTTTTTTGAGTTTGAAGTCTGTTTTATCTGATATAAGTATAGCTGTTCCTGCTTTCTTTTTTGGCCCATTTGCTTGTAGGATTGTTTTCCATCCTTTGACTTTGAGCCTATTTTTATCTTTTGTAGCTAAATGTGTTTCCTGGAGACAGCAAAAGGTTGGGTTTTGTTTCTTAATCCAGGCTGCAACTCTGTGTCTTTTTATTGAAGAGTTTAGTCCATTTACATTTAGAGTTAATATTGATATGTTAGCATCTGTATTTGCCATTATGTTTGTCTTTCCTTTGATTTTATTTATTCTTTTAATAACTTTTTTTTTTTTTTGGTCTTCTTTCGTTGTTATTCGTCCCTCTGAGGTTCTGGCTTTAGGATTCCTTGTAGTATTTTTTGGAGTGGGGGTTTATTCGTAATGAAATTCCGGAGTTTCTCTTTGTCTGGGAAGGTCCATATTCTTTCTTCATGGAGGAAAGAGAGCTTTGCGGGATAGAGTATTCTTGGTTGGCATCTGTTTTCTTGGAGTCTGTTGACTATGTCCCTCCACTCTCTCCTTGCCCGTAGTGTTTCTTCAGAGAAGTCTGATGTCAGCCTGATTGGTTTTCCTTTGAATGTTATCTGTTTCTTCCCTCTTGTCAGCTTCATTATTTTTTCCTTGTCCTGGATTCTTGGGAGCTTTACTATTATGTGTCTTGCTGTGTTTTTCCTTTCGTCGTGGAAGTTTGGTGTTCTTCTTGCTTCTTGTATATCAATTTTCAGCTCCTTCTTCGCATTTGGGAAGTTCTCTTCAATTATCTCTTGGAATATTTTCTCTGTTCCTACATCTCTCTCCTCTCCTTCTGGAATTCCTATAACTCTTATATTTCCTTTCCTCATGGAGTCAGATAGTTCTCGAAGTCTTTCTTCATTCTTTTTCCTTCGTACTTCTCTTTCCTTTTCTGTTTTGGTTCTTTTTATTTCTGTGTCTTCAAGAGAACTTATTCGTTCTTCCATTTCATCTATTCTGCTTTCCTTGCTTTTCCCGGAGTTCTTTAGTTCCTCCATTAATTCTTTGATCTCCTGCATTTCTTTTACTTCCCTCTTTAGGGACTCAATTTCATTCTTCTGACCATTGTTTTCCCTCTTTAGGGACTCAATTTCCTTCTTCTGATCTATCACTTTTTTAATCATGGCAATTTTAAATTCTCTTTCTGGAAGGCTCAGAAGTTCTTCCAAGTTGCTGTCGTTGCAATCTGGGGAGTGGTTTCCTTTTTGTGGTGTGCTTCTTTCCTGAGGAGTTGTTAGGTTGCGTGTGGTTCTTCTACTCCCTACTGTCTGTTTTCTAATTTGTCGTATGCGTTGGGACACTGTGATGCTCGGACTGATTGGTATCTTGGGTGAACTTCTCCGCTCCCCTCTGGCTCTTCCAGGAGCCATCTCTGCCTTCTGGGGGAGCTTTCTGCTGGTTTTAGGCAGTTTTTACTGAAGAAATGTCCCTGTTCTCAAATGGCGAAGCGGGATGCAGTCCCTGCGCCTCCGGTTTCAAGCACACTCTTCTGCGCACCCGGTCTGCCCCGGACGTGGGTGCCTGCTCCCTCTGTGGGCTCAGACTGCTGGTCGGAAGGGGCCTGGAGTGGAATAACTTCCCGGCTGGCCACTGCAGAAGCCTTCTGCCCTTTTCAAGCAGTCTTAAGAAATTTCCTGTTCTATGGGGTGTTAGTGACTTTTTTTTTTCCTGGTCACTAGGTGGCGCCAGAGATCTCTCCTATTGTCCTTGGGGGGCTGTTTTTCGTCCCCCCCACCCCGTGGGACAGGGAACAGAGCGGGAATGGTAGGGTACACCTCAACAGCTTTGGGGTGCTGTGTCTGCCTTGTGCCCCACCGTCGTGGAGAACCCACGCCCTGAATTTTCGTGCCCCGAGTCTCAGTTCAAAGCCCTCAGTTCCAGGACGCGGGCTGTAGCCCAGTTCAGTGGCGCAGGAATGGCGCCTTTTGCACTGCTCCCTTGCCCGGGTGCCTGGTTCCTGCTCACTCAGGGAGGGACCTTCACCTCAGTGAGGACCTCCGCGCGTCTCCCTGCAAGCCTAGGTCGTCTCCCCGCAAGCCTAGGTCGCAGGCGCGGGTACCTGGGCAGCCGCGATTCCGGTCTGCACTTGCTTTTCAAGCTCCCCGAGCGTGCTGCGTTTCCGCGCCAGCTTAAGGCAGCCCGGGCTGTGTGCGCGTCTCCCGGGGTCTTTGTTCTTCTCTAATGGCGCCTGGAGCCGTTCGCTCGCCGCGCCGAATCCTGCAGGGTTCGCCTCAGCTCCCGTTCACGGGGTGTGGTGGCTGCAATAGTTCCTTTCCACACACAGTCCCGCTTGCTGCGTCGTTTGTTCTTGTGGGCCGTTTTGGTTTGTTGTTTTCCTCCTCTCTGCAGGTCGGAGAGTGCCGCCTCTGTGGGCGGGGGAGGGGAGCAGGGTTCTGCGCTTCCCTCCCTTCTAGTCCTCTTTTATGGCCACTTTCTTCTTCGGTAGTTTGCTGGAGTCACCCGTTTATCTTCCGTGTCCTGGTTCTCACTGGGACCTGCCGCTTTTCCTCCCTATTAACTTTTTTTAATGGGAGATCTTACTCGCAGCGTCTCCTCGCCGCCATGTTGCTCCGCCCCCTATCATCATTTTTCATTTTTGCACAATGTATGCATTTTCATTTTGGTTATATTCCCCATACAACTCTCATCCCCCTTATTTTGACCCTAATCCCTTGTTGATTTTGATTTTTTCTTTATTATAATAAGTCATTTTCCTGGTCCCTTATTTAGGTTTTCTAAATTCCTGTTATGAGTGAGACCATCTGGTATTTTTCTTTTTCTTTCTAGCTTATTTCGCTGAGCATGATTAAAAGATATGCGTTCAAGAGCTGGGGTGTAGGCCAGAGGTACGGGGGGTGAGAGGATTCACCAGAGACAGAGTGGGGAGCAGAACAGGCAGATCTACTGAAATACACTGTGGAGGGTTGCAGTGGGCGAGACAGGAGAGGTCTGCTGCACCATGTCTGGGGTTCAAACTCATGCTGCAGTGGCTGCAGATTGCTTCTGAGTGCTGAGACCTAACCCCTTGCACCATCACGGAGGCCCACATCATTTAGTTTTTTTAAGGGGAGAGTACAGTGGCATTAAGTACATTCATGTTGTTGTACAAACATTATCACTATCCATTTCCAGAACTTTTTCAACATCCAGCCCTGACACTCTGTCCCATTAGACGATGACTCTCCATTCTTTCCTCTGCCCACCCGCTGGTAACCATTATTGTACTTTCTGTTTCTATGAATTTCTCTATATACACTCATGTGAGTGGAACCATATATGTCACTTTTGTGACTGGCTTACCTTACTGAGCATCATGTCCCCAAGTTTCATACATATTGTGCCATGTGTCAGACTCTCCTTCCTTCCTAATAATATCCCATTGTATGCATGGGACACATTTTTTTTTTTTTTATTCTTTCACCCAATGATGGACATTGGGACTATTTCCACCTTTTGGCTATTTAAATAATAATACTGTAATCATGTGCCTGCAGATATCTGTTCCAACCCCAGCTTTTATTTCTTCTAGGTCTATACCTGGATGTAGAATTGGTAGGTCAGTTGATAATTCTACTTAACTTTTTAAGGAACTGACTTTCACGCATTCCAGGCAGTGTGCTCATTTCTCCATACTCATCAAACAGTGGTTACTTTCCATTTATTTGAAAATATTTAAGTTAGAAGATGGAATTGTAAGAATGCTGGTTATGAAACTTATTCCATTGGTCTGTCTAGAAACACTGAAGTTCCACAGTAGCACAGTTTATCATTTCTCCTACACTAGATCAAATACTAACAGACTTGGCTATATCCCAGTGTTAAGGACAGAGAAGTCTGTTCTGGAGTTCTGGTTAACCTGGTTTCCTAAGAGGGTAGCAGGAGAGATGCCAGGCATATCTGCCTTGTGGATAACCTCTTTTCTTATACCGCCTAAAGTTTTGACTTTTTCACAAGAGTGAAGTTGCCCTTGAATGTGCCCCCCTGGGACCCTCAGAGAGTTCAGTGAAATGGCAGTAGAATCATGTGCTCTAGGTACATTTCCATTAACATTAGCAGACGGTATCTTTTCACACCCTCTTCCCTGAACCTTGGAAAACTTTTGCTGGAGTCCTCAGGAAAAGATTGTGGGCACGGGAAACACGAGATCAGGGACCAGGCTGCCATCTTGTAAAGGCTTTATTTCTACTTCATCATCGTCTCATACAGACTCCGAGGCAACAGCCTTCGTTTCAATTTAGTATTCTCATGATTTTTTTTTGTAGTGTTTTTCCTTACACACACACAAAAAAAAAAACTGAGTAAACACTGTATATTGCCAGTTAAATCCTTTAACAATAATTTTAAAATGCCGTAGCTGTTGTATCATCAATGCAAGAGGACAACAATAAAAGTACAGTACAAGGGAATCACAATGTTTTACAGTGGACAACAACTCACAAGGAGGTGATGGTGAGACCACGTGGGGTAATGTACATGCACACAGGTGCTTCGAACCTGAAGACGTGCAGGTCGAGGAGGATGTATGGATTATACAGAGAATTCTGTAAGCCCAGTGAGGACTCTGTACCTTTTCAAAAAATGCTGTATCCTTTCCAACATATAGGATCTCTGTCCTGTGTACTGGCTTCATGGCTTTTTTTTTTTTCACTACAAAATGTTCACTGAATCAGACAGTCTGAAGCATTTCAAAAATTCTGAATAAGAACACTGACAAAATAAAATTAACTTAAAACACTGGAATCCAACATGGGAAATAAATCAAACCAAAATGTAACAGTGCAAATTTCAACAGAGAGGCAGTCAGTATTGGGAGCAAGGGTTCAGGATCTCTTAAAATGTACATCTTTAAAACTTTTATATTTTAAATTTATTTATATCTTATTTACCTTTTTGTTTAATATACTGTGTAAAAAAGATGGAGACAAAAATAGTTTTCTGAGCTATGAAAAAAATTATTACAGGCACGTTTACTGTTTCATTCTAGAAACATCTCAGTTTCACAGGTTGAACATTCAGCAGCTGTGTGTTTTTTAAAAAACATTCTTTGACCTTGGGAAAACTAGCTCTCTCCTTTTGGGCAGAGTTTGATTGATGACAATGGTGTGGTTTTGCAAATTACAGTGAATTATTCCGGGATAATCCATGCAAACTTGCATCACGTCACAGGTGTGGTTTCTCCCCGGGCGGCTCCTCATCGCCCAACTCCTCCAGGGAGGTCGGGTCTCCGGGTGACAGAGCCAGTGAGGCAGTGGGGGGATGTGGGGCCCAACGGGATGGAGGGCGACGGTTTGCTGGTCTCTCGGGCCTGGAGAAGCAGGGTTCTAGGGATGGAGCTAGTGCGGAACAAGGTAGTTCCTTCAAAGCCAAGAAAGAGAAAGACAGTTATTGAGACCCACAGCTCCAGCGGATGATGTCCCAAGCATTTCTCAACAGATAAAAGTTAGATGCAATAGCCAGGGGCAATTTGTGAAAGTTAGTTTTTCTTTTGCTCATGGAGAGTAACTTAAGATGGTAAGGAAAGAATTTAGCAGGAATGCTCAGTGCTGACAGTGATAGGAAGATATCAAATCATGATTAAAATATGGATGGATGGGAGATGGGTATGTTTACACAGTGTTTCAGAATAAGGCTGCAACAGATGGAAGGTGGGGACAGTCATGCGGCTGTGGTTGCCATGGTCTCTTTTGACCCAGTTGATCCCGTGCCCTTGACCCCCCCTGAATGACCGAGTCAGCTCCAGTGGCACCCTGTTGTTGGAGGTCAACCTCCCTATATCTCGGTCTGCTGGGCACCCATGAAGGGACCTGTGATTCCACCCAGCTGTTAGCAACAGACTCTGTTGCTGTTTATTCCAAATAAACTCCTACAAGATGGAAAAAATGCTGCTGGCAGAAATTTTAATTTAGGTCTAGTTTTCTTTAATGATTCTTCCTTGTGAAGCTCTATGTGCTTGTGTCGAAGGCATCCTACACATTCCAGGGACAGAGGAGGTGAGACGCACTCAATCCTGGTAAAAATCACTTACAGCTCTCTCAAGGGCCACTGCTACTTTTTTTGGTTTTCAAGAATGTTAAGCTACTTGTCTTTAGTTTGCATGTTAGGAAACAAGGACACACAAACTTGGAAACTGCCGGCACACAGAAATGTGAGAAGCGGCGGCAGGAGGAGACAGTGAGTTCTACAGGCTGGAACCTGCCTCCTCAGATGATACTCACACAAATAAGGGCTGAGATGGAAACCCACTGCAATGAGCGATGATGGATGAAAGACCCTCAGAGCCAGGCGGGAAGTGATTGGAGGAGTAAAAGAGATGTGACAAGCAACTGTAAAGACCAGATGAGGCAAGACAGTAGCGCAGGGGAGGGGCAGGAAGACGGCTGGCCATGATGTCCAGGGGAAATGCGACGAGGGAGAGGGCAGGCAGAAGGTGGAGCACAGAGCACACTGGGCGCTTCTGGAAGAGTGATGGAGTGAGGTGGATCCCGCCTCTCTGTGGGGTCAGCAGGAAAGAAGCATCTACATGGGGGCTACTCAATGTTCCCTGACTCTTGCGGCTGCTCCTTTCTGTGACAAAGGGGAAGCCTCATCAGCAAAGCACTTATGCTAATGGGAGCCATGACAACCAGAAATATCTCATCTGCTGAAATGAGAACCAACCCGAACTAAGGCGGGGGAGCTGTGTCCTCACCTCACCTCCGCCCAGAGCATGAGGGGACGCGTGGGCTACTATTTTGTCTTCTGGTTTCTGCGTTCCTAGTATTGTGAAAAAAAGTGTGTTAATATAGTTTGTTGTGTGTTTTGTGTTGTATATGGAGTATAATTGTGTTTTTGTGTTAGTTTGTGTTATGTACGAGTGTGATGTGTTCTTTGTGTTTTGTAGTTTGTGATTTTTGAGTGTACATTGTGTATACATGTCTGTTGTATAGTTTGTGCTGTGCGTGAGTGTCAATTGTGTGTGTGTTGTTGGTTGTGTAGTTTATGCTGTGTGGAGTGTCTGTGTTGCGTGCTGGGGAGGCACACACTGCTGATACGGAATGAGAAATGCCATGTGACTGTGAGCTCAAGGGCGTGACCAGTTACTTAGGGACAAAGCGCAGGTCAGTGAATGAGGCCATCCTTTCTCTGAGAAGCCCCTGCAGTGGGCTGCATGGGCACTTCATCTCTGGAGCGCCTCTTTGGAAATGGCTTTCCAGATACATTCTTTGTCATTTTTCATGGGGGCACATCTTTAGTCTTTGCAAGTCAACTGTACTTTTGTACTGAGTGCTTTGAGTAAGGCCAGTGGATGAGGGTTCAATCAAAAACAAAGGTAGTGTTTTCTTGGAACCTCAATTCAGACTCTGAAGGCAATTCTGCAAGAGAATTATTTTGGAGCAGGGATGGTTTTGTTGCTTATTCTTCAACAAATATTTGAGTGAAGAATGACTCAAAGACCTGCACAGGCTAGACAGCTGGGCCAGCAGCACAGCCCCCCTCTCCTGACTCCCAAGACATACTGGCCTTAAGCTGCATGAGAGAGGCAAACTGGGCAGGATCTCCGTAACCTGAGAGCCTTTCTTCACACTGAGCCATCACCACCTGGAGGGGAGACAGGCACGTCAGGCCTGCCAACCGTCCCTGCAGAGGGACCCTGGGTTGCGTGGCTGGACTTCATCTACCTGGGCTCAGCCTCGATTCTGAGTGTCAGATGCCAAACCCGAGTTACACAGCGATCTGTGCAGACAGTTTGGGAGGAAGTAAGAGAGCACTTACGGCGTGAGGCAGGCAGGGCTAGATCCCCAGGGGGCGGTTAGTAAGACAGTTTGGTTCTGGACAGAACAGACAGAGAAAGAAAAAGCAAGTAGGTTGGAAAGTACTTTTTTAAAAAAGAACAGTGTGCATTCCTGTCTTCCGCGGCTATCCAGGGGAGGAGGCACCTCACCCCGAACTGCTAGAGAGCGCCACTTCAGTTTTCCATTCTCCCCCAGTGCCCTTTGGCATTTAACATTTCAAACACCCCGTGGCACAAAGAGATGGACATCTGCACAACGCTGTGTGTGAGCAGAGGCCTCTGAACAGCCGCTTGTTGATTCACAATGATAGAGTGAACCCTGCTCATACTAAAAATTTCCCCTCATGAATTTTCCACTTAGACGTGGGAGGGAAGAATAGCATTGCATTTCCAGATTTTTCTTTTCTTCACACCAGAACTCTTCCTCTCTGCATCACTGCATGGGTGCAATGGCTTCAAGAGAAAAAGAGTAATAAGTAGCCTGTGGGGTGGAAGTAGGGAGAGAGGGGGCTTCCTGTTGAGTGTGTTTCTAGTACGGGGACACCTACATCACCCTTGTGTCTGTCTGAGCACACCTAAAGGGAAAGATTCCATGACAGGGTGCTCAGAGCAGGTTGGTGAGCTGGGGAGAAAAATCAACCAGAACTACTACATAATTTATGGAGTGGCAGGAAGGGTCCTCCAATGGGCCTCAGATAATAAGTCAATTCAGTCAGGAACAAGTCCCCTGGAATCTCAACAAGCAAAATCGCTACAGTGAAGGAAAAAGGAGCCCACGATATGTAAACACCAATGAATGCTCCACGCATGTGGTTAACCACTGAAATTGTGCTGTGCTCTCTTCAAACCAGCCAGCCATTTCTTTTGATAGCAAACACACCAAATGAGGAGGAAATCTAAATAGGCACTTTACAGAGGACCAAAAGGTATTGGGGCCAGCTTTGACTGATCAAACCATTTTTGGGCCTGAGTGTTGTGATTTAGTCATTAACCCATTTTCTTTATATTATAGATTACTTAGAGCATTTTCAGTGACACATAGCATTATTTGATTCCTGAAAATTAATTTCTATTTAGCCTTTAATAAAAGTAGACACTACAGACATAGTCTGTTAATTCTTTGGGACAAATGCCAAATTCCCAATAGTTTTTCCAGAGCTCTAAAAAGACAGGACATTCATGCAACAGATCCTCCACAGCAGCAAGTCACTTACCTGAGGACCTCGGCGGGATGGGGGTAACAGAAGCCCACAGAAGACACCCTCTGTTCCTTGAGAACACTCAATCATGATATCTATCCCTTTCAGAACATGTAAAATAACTATCACAAATAGTTGTACCTTTGGCACATGCAGGTGATATATGATCACTATTAGGTTGAACCACATAGTATTTCAGCTCACTGGTAATTCCGCATGGTCTAACCTATTTCAGATTTAAACCACGTTTTACATTAAATATTTCTAGCTGAGTTAGACTCATAAACTAGGCATAATTTTTCCCCACTGTGGGAAATGTGAGGTTAAAGGTGGATCCAATGACACAGGAAACACTCCTTCCCCTTCCCATCACCTGTGAAGCCACGGATGCCCAGGCCACAGGAGAAGACAGTGGGGCAGCCTGGGAGGCACTTTCTCCCCTCTGACCCTCACCATCTGCTGCAGCTCCCAGCCTGGACAACCCTATGGGTGTCCGGATTCCACGGCCATGGAGTTTGTCTGTCTGGGCTTCTGCTGTGTCAGGCCTCACCCTCAAGTCTACATATGAAGCCACCAGCTGAACAGTATCTGACTGAGGGTTGGAAGACTTATTCTTTTACCACAAGGGGTGCAAGGCTGGCAGCACCCATTTTCACTCCCAGCAGTACCATTTGGCTGTGTTTTATTTTGCTTATTCTTGAAGTGGAGATGGGACTGTCTTAAAGTAGTGTGGCAGCAATATACCACGGGTAGGTAGGCGAGAACAGAAGTCAAGGTTGGCTGGTGAATAATACGAAGGGGGATCTACCCTAGTGACAATATGTGGTCACATGTAATGTGATAATAACATGTAATGTATAGGGGGACAGTATATCACCATGATGTATCAAGGTAGCATTCTGACCTTGTCCATTTGTCCTAGCAGTACAAACTCATCTGGTTGTTATTGCTAGGGGTTTTCATGCACAGAGAGGGCACGTGACTTGCATAATGTGAAGCTCACTCTGGAATCCAGGCAGTCTTGAAGCTCCTGATGAGATGTTCTAAAATCCACACAATCAGACTCTCTGTAACACAACTCTGGCATCGACATATCTAAAGACCTTCAGCATGCAGAAAGCCCTGACACAACTGGCTGTCCCTTATACATACACACACACACACAGATTCATGCAGAAAGAAGACAAACATACCTCCAAGTGAAAGGACCAGATAAACAGGTAATATCAATCACTTAGACCAGAGACAAGAACCTGAATCAAACCCTGAGCTACTTCTTAAAGAAAACATCATCTTTATGTCCTCTGAAGATCACCAAAGACGCTAAAATGACGTTTTCTTTAAGAACTAGCTCATGTTCCTGTTCACACCATTCCCCCATAAACCCTGTATCTTCTGGCTCACAAGAGCCTATTACAGTCTCAGATTCCTGAAATCAAATGCTCCCATACAATCTGGGTTCAGAGGCACCCAGCAATTACACAGAAGATCAGTGGGGTGGGGGTACGGGACACTCATCATTCATTACCTCCATGGACCCTGGTTCAGCTTTGACTGTTTCTCTCGTGTGGCTGTCACTGTTAAGACTTGGGGGGCAGTGAGGAGCTTGCCTCCTCTCCTCCTTTAAGGCATGCTCCAACAGCTTCTTGTTGAGGATCCGGGCCACATTCTCGGCCAGTGTGTAGCCAGGGGGAGCAGATAAGTCCTGCCTCACAGGTGTGCTCTCTCCCCCTTCCTCTCTACATGTCTCTGAGCCAACCCCGATGGGGCTGGGTGACCGTCCCCGGGAACTGGGGCCAGTTTCTGGGCCTGGGTTCAGATCTGGCCGGGGTTCTGCTGAGCGAGACCGACTCCCAGCCCGCATCCCCTTTTGGAAGGGGTCCTGCACGACGGGACTGTGGTCAATGATGTTGAAAAGGCTGGAGAGGCCGTCATTGATGGCGGTGTGCACGGGGCTCTCCCGCGTGGTGGTGGAGCGGGCCCAGGCTGACTCGCTGCACCCTTTCTGGGCCAGCCCTGGGGAGGCCCTGTTATTTGGCTGGTCAGCTTTGGGGAGGGGCTTTCTCTGCAGCTTAGGAGACCCATACTTGGGGGAGCAGCATGTGCGTTCAAACTTGGCCTGTACTTTCTCAATGGCGGGGGCCACCTGCCTGCTCCTAAGTCCTCGAGAAGGAGATGACACGGGTGTGGCACCACCCCCCGCCTTGGGTGTGAGACACTTGTGGGGGCTGCTGGTGATGGCGCTGCCGCGCAGTGCTTCAGTCTGCAGGCCAACATTGATGGTCTGGATGGTCTGAGTCCCAGTTGTCCGGGACCCATTGGTCTGGCAGGCCATGTCTTTAACCAGAGGCTCAGTGGGTCCAGAGCAGATGGCATTCCTAACGGAGAAGGCCACCTCCTTCATATCGTCACTCATGTTCTTGGACATCTCCAGGCTGTGCAGTGGAGAGGCAAACCCCAGGGGGGCGCAGAGGGTGCTATCAAGGGGGCGGAGGCCGCCCTCCATGTAGTCTCGGGGGTGTTTGGAGGGGGCACAAGGCCACCTGCCAAGCATGTGTTCTGAGGGTCCCTTTGTGTCTTCTGTGCTCCCTCTGGCTCTAGTTGCAGAAAATGTGCACTCGGGGTCCAGCCGGCCCTTGCCCTCACTGCCTACCACAATGATGCTGTCCATTCTGCGGACTGCAGGGGGGCTGTGCAGCACCCTCACCCCAGATGGCTCGGCACGGATGTGGCTCCTCAAGGACTGCTTCTGGCAGTGCTCCGGGCTGGTCATGGTGTCCGTGGTCATGGTGACACTCGTGGTGAGGTACCAGGAGGAATCGGCAAAAGACTCGGCACTGGCCTCCTTTCCTGCCCACCCTGCCTCGGTCCTGTCTGCCCAGGGGTCCAAGGGTCTCTCATCCCAACTCTTGCTGTTGAACTCCTCGATGTACTTCAGGTCATCAGGGGACAGGGGTGGCGTGATGTCCTCCTTGTTGCTGGCAGCAGGCAGGCCCTTCTCTGGCAGGAAGGGAGACACGTCCATCAGGCGCTGGAACTCAGACATGGAGGACACGGACACTGCCCTGGGAAAAGTGGGAGAAAAGACATCAGCTGCCCACTGGTCAGGGGAGACTGCTCACCTGAGGCTCCGACCCTACCCCTGACCCCCCACCAGGAGCACCTGCTATGGGGTTTTCCACCTGAGCGCTCATCCAGCTATTGGATGATCCCTGCTCCTAAGCTGATCCCATGGATATTTAGTGAATTTTTACGGTTCTGGAATTGTTCCAGGAGCCTTATATTGGTCAGCTCTAATAAAGACAACCCTCAAATACTGTGGAAACAAGTGGAAGTGGGGTTATGGGCAGTCATAACTAAATTCCAAATCCACTCTGGAATAGTTTCAATGAAGTTAGCCTACAGACCTCCATAGGAAGAAGGAAAGCCTGGCTGTGGCCTGGCCTCCCCATCTGCTGCTGAGTTTCTAGTTCCAGGCAGTATGGCCATTGCCCCTGCTACAGACATGAAAACCACATTCTGATCCCAAACCAGCTAATGGTGGGGTTGGGGGATGCCACAACAAAATAGCTATAATCTGAAGTCTTTTTCAGCCATCAGCCTCACCCTCCATTGGCCTCATAAGCTAACAACCCCTAAAGGCCAAATGGAAGATGTAGAAGAAGGAAGGGGAACACTAATCAGACTGGCAAATAATTCCAAATACTATTTCATATAGAAATTATATCTGGCCATGCCTCAATCCACCAACAGGGTTCAATGCTTGCCTGCCCCCCTGCTCCCTTATTTCTAGCCAGTCCTCTTTTTGTTCTTGCTTCTGATGCAGTACTGGACGAGAGGAAGACTCTGGCAGACACACACATACAACAGAAGAGTGAAGTTATACAATAGGTGAGCTAAAGCAAGAGCTACTTGGGGTAAGTGGCTGCCTGTGAGGTGCAGATTTATTTTTGAATTTTTTTTGCACATTTTGATGTAGAGTTCTCATTATCTTAGCACTTTTATTCAATATATATTGATTTGATGTGAATTTACTGACTGCCCCCTATAGGCTCCCTCCTATAGTACCTTATGAGATGCTGGGGGTTCCAACACAGTAATCAGGGGTCTGCTGGAGCACTCAATAGCTTGTCAACCTACCCAGGGTAAGGAAGAGGCTGGGATTGACCAGGTCTGCTAGCTCAGATCCTGGGTCCTCCTCCTGAAACCCCTCCTGGGATGGGACAAGGAGGTGAGGTACATGCAGACAGACTGTCTCTGCAACTAGACCCCATTCTCCTAGAACATACGAATTCCCCCTACACCTGCAAAACCTAGCATTCTAGACCAGCTCAGGCCATGATAAGGAGGTCCCAGACCACTTGCAAGGACCACTCCACCACAGGATATTCACGGCAGCAAGGTTAAAAATGGGGTTCCTATGACAAATGGGCTACAGTGTTGGCAAAGCTCTGGTGACTGCAGACATTGCCTCCACCTGGGCCATGTGCTCCTGTGGTCACCGCTATGGGGCAAGAGAGCAGGCTGCCAGGGCCGCTGTGACTTCTTGTTACTGTCACTAAAGCAAAAGTCAGTGGTATATCTTTGTTATAAACAAGCTACAGATCATTCACTGGCTCTCTGATTAGCAGAAAGCAGGCAATAATGAGCACTAGAAATAAAGGAGGTGGAAAGGACAGGCTGACTTGTTACTAGATCTAGAGCTTTCCAGAAAGCATGATTTTCCTCCTTTTGCCCCAAGTCTAAATAAGGGGTTACAGAGCTATAGTGAGCTTCAGCACATTGTTTCTTGGGGTGGGAGTGCACCGAAACCCCGGCCTTCTTCATGCTTCTTGGATGGAGCTCATCTACCTTGTTTCTGCCCACAGAGGAGCTGCTCTCGGGATTAAGTTGGTGACACCTGTGTGGGCACTTCATGCCTTGAGGACTTGGATGGATACCAGGGACTAGAGACTGTGTGGATGGAGACAGGAGGAGCATCAGCCTTAACAGTGGCCCAAGCGAAACAAAACAATGACTACAAAAGGCAGGAAGCATTGGAAAATATGCAGGGACTTGTAGACACAAAACTGCCAGCAGTGCGGGAAAAGCGGCTGGCGAGGCAGACACAGACACTTTCTTACTTCAGACATTTTGAGGTATAATTCAAATTTTACAAGAGTAGATGCTTTTTTAAAATGAAAAGAAACAATGAAGACACAGAATAAGTGTTGCAAGGAAACATGGAAAGGTTGATGGCTTGGAGAGCGTTGCCACACACCCTGATGGGGTTGCTGAGGCGGCGACTGTGAAGAAAGGAAAAAAACGGGAGGCAGTCATGGTGGCTAAACTTCGAGCACTGCTGCTTCTGTGCTGGGCATTGATTTTTCAAATGTGTTTTCACACCTTTAAGCTGAAAAAATGTCTAAATACCTCCTGCATCAAGAGAGGAGATGGGGCACAAAGCAGTCACATAGCACTCCAGGTCACACAACTAGTTTGACATGGATCTGAACCCAGGCTGTTTGGCTCTGGAGGCTGAGCTTGAGGTGCTGCCCTATATTTTTCATGACTGACTAACAAAGACAGGACTCGAAGGGCAGACACATACTATTCTAGGTGTTGGATGCATCTGATGAAAGGCAAAATGCAAAGAGATAGTAGTTAATGGACTCCAAATCATAGGAATATCACAGATGAGTTGATCTGACAATAGCAAATAGCAAACTGCCCTAAGAAGGAGTGTTTTCCATAAAGGGAGGACTGTGGCAAATCCCTACTTTCTGCTCAGTTAGGTAATTTTAATGTTTGAAGTGAAATTTTTTTTTTATGTATCTTTCCAGGTACATAAAATCATCATCTACATCTGATACACACGATGATACATGTACATATACCTGATGATATACACAATCATCAGGACGCAGCTCATACCTATGAACTGAAATATATGATCATGAACATCAACACCTTTATATTTACTTCAAAGGTTATCACCGAGAAATATTTTAACAAATCTTTCTAGCAGAGCTTTGTGATGTACAGTATATAAAATGTCTAAAGCATAGCAAGGTGGGGCTTTTCCAGACTTTAAATTAGAACAGAGGGATTTCTGAACTTTTCAAAACCATTTAATACGATCGCTCCTTCATACACATGGCACACAACTACGGCTACACAAATCTCACACTAATGCTAACACACACACATGAAAGCAGCACGTCTGGCCTTTTTGTGGCCAGTAATATGAAATGCCATATTTATGAAATTCATAATAATAAAGCAACTACTCATTCCAAAGTCTTATGTTAGGTGTTTTGAACAGAGTGGCATAAAAGACAGCCGTGGCAAGATGGAATGTTAAGGCCAAAAGGTTTTTGTTTCAGCAGTCTACTAATATTTTAATCTCACTTACCTTTGAAGATTTCCCTTGTGATTTTCTTCTTCCTATAAAGAAGAAATAAGTTCATCGGAATCAGTTAATTTTGGCTGCTGGGAGCTTTCAACATACTAACAGATTTGCTTCAGCCCAAAGAAAATACCATTTAAAACATACACGGGGGCCAAGGTTTGGTGTGGGGTGCTCTTGCCCCTACACCCTTTGAAGTACAATAATAAAGGAGTTGGAGCTTCTATAGCTCAGGGAGCAGCCCACATGAGTGAGAAAAACCGGCTTATAAACGTCACAGAGGAAGTAGCTCCCCTGATATGAATTTCAAAGGCAGCTTTTATAATGACCTAAATACAGCTGTGGTGTGCATGTATGTTGGCTGGATGGGGAGGGAAAAGGAGGGATGAAGGGCAGGTGAGGGTGAGAGGGAAACACCCCTTGGTTCAATTCCCTCAGTGTCTAACACTGACCATGGAAGACACTGTGTATTCCTTAGGCTTGTGTGCTTTCTTGGTTTTAAATACTGCTGTGTAGAACTGGAGGCAAAGTTTGAGTGACTCCCCCTTGAGAAGAATGATAGCTGGGCTGCAGGGAAGAGCACAGACACAAGATGCCTTAGGAGTAAACGCCCTTGTGCTGGCACATCTTAAGGAAGAAGTAGGGACCCTAGTAAGCCTTCAACAGTAAAGCAAATTCACTCTTTGGTGCATTTAATAGACAGGCATGCTTCCTCTACGGGGGAGGGGCCCTTGGCTCTGCCTAGGCATCTAGGCTGCTACTGTACTGGGACCAGGACAGTGCCCTGACCTGGGTTTGTTCTCTCTATGGTGAGAGGGGACCACGTGAGACCGCCAGTAGTTCAAACTGGGTAGAATATTGTGATGTCCTATTGACTAGATATGTACTGCTAAGGAGCTAGGTAGCTGAACTAAAATTTTCCTAGATTTCAACATTATTTGACATGAACTCCTCTTAGTAAGTGTTTGCAACAAGTAAATGACAGGTACCATCTTTACTCATTTCACCCACCCTCCACCCTCTTGAAAGTTGCTAAGGGAGTAGATCTTAAAAGTTCTCATCACAAGAAGAAAATCTCTAACTATGCATAGTGACGTACATCAACTAGACTGATTATAATGAGCATTTCACAATATATACTAGTGAATAATTATGTCATACACCTGAAACTAATATGTTATATGTCAGGAATATTTCAATAACAATTTCTTAAAATAAATGATAGGTGCAATGATTGCTAAATGACTCATAATTAATGATTCCCACAGTTAAATTTTTAAAATCTAGTTTTAAAAAGGAAGTAACCAGAAAAATCTAATATTGTACCATGGAAATTTCAGAAGACAGCTCACCTATTTGCTGATCTAATTTAGATCAACACTTGGATTTCTAAATGTTCAACTTTTTGTCTTTTGCAACGAATAAGATATTTACGGAAGTATGCTATGTTTGGTGATGCTAGGCATTTTCTTTAAAACAGAACTTTTTTGGTTAATAGTAAGTTTTCTATGGTCAGGAAACTGTGCTATGATTTTAAGAAAAGTTGAAGATTATGCTTTCCAAGGCAATCTATTTCCTCCTACATGTTTTGTTGACTACTCCATTTGTGAGACCTTTCCTTCTCCACAGCATGGGTGTCCTGTATTTCCAAACCTGACACAAGGTGGCGAACTGAAACTGACCACAGCACAGGCTAAGGGCACCACCAAGCAAAGCTCCTGGCACTGTGCACATTTCACGTTCACTCAATCCAGAGGCTGCACAAGCAACCCTGAGAGAGGCCACAGATGTGCACTGTTTCCCAATGACCCTTGGTCCTGCAACAGATAAATGGACAGGAAAGCCCAGGCGAACCTCGGGGAGGCAGTTCCTGAATTCCAAGTGGGGATCACGTGCCGAAGGCTCCTCTGGCTCATCGTCCAGGGACAGCGCATCCAAGTAGAGGTTCTCCCGGGCCGAACACCTGTCTGACTCCTTCAGCTTGGACAAGGGCCGGTCTTCAAACGAGGTGGAGTCTGCATCGACACAGGGCCACACCCCCACCGGGCAGGGCACTCGGGGGCCTCCAGGGTGGGCAAAGGGGCGGATGTTGCCGTCTTTTTGATCACAGAGGAAACTGACACTTCTCTGGGGACTATTTTCTTTCTGCAACTTGAGAGTTTTAAAAATGAAAACAATTAGCCTCATTTTCCTGTCTGTTGCTCTCCTAAGACCACATCCCCTAAGTCTGGAATTACATATGGATTGTAAATTCTCTTGAAGTTCTGGACTTAATTTCAAAATGTAGCATATTACTAATGCTTTAAAAAAATCACAATTTTAGCAGGACCGGAAAATCTGCATTAGCCACACTCAAGTCAACTTCTTCTTATGAGAATACATATATTACCATATACAACTCTGAGTAGTGTGCTCTGGCAAATGATACAATTTTTTAAATCTACATTGTTAAATGACATAGTTAGAAATCACTTTTGTAATTACTATCACAAGTGAAGGCATGCTCAATGGAATAGCATCAGTGATAGGCAACTTCTGAGGGCGAATTTGATTTTCCTAACTAGCCTCAAATCATTTGGAACAGATTCTACATATAGAATCATCTATATATATATATATATAGAGAGAGAGAGAGAGAGAATCATCTATATATAGATCACCTATGTGATCAAACTGGGTTATAATTATTTGCTGTCAAAAGCACCTCACACTTTACTTCAGGGGATTACAACTTAGCTATAAAGGCAATTAAAGATGACTGAGAAGAGAGCAAGAGCCACATATTGTGCAGCCATACTCTTTGGCCTGGCTTGGTAAACCAGAAACAGCTGGGGGACCCCTGGGAACACTTGGTGGAAGGAAGACCCGGTGTTTTGTGGCTTGCTGGTTTGCTAGGGGTCTCAGTTCAGTTGTCTCATCTATGAAATGGGGCCAGCACACCTCCTCCTGTGTTGAGGTGAGGGCCATGGAGGCCTAGCATTGCCTATTGACAGCACTAGAAGGAGAGTGGACAAGCCTTTCCAGAGTGGAGCCAGTGTTCAATCACAGGGACGGGAGGAAATGGGGTGCAGGGGAATGCTCCCCCTCAGGGAGCACCCCAAATGGATTGGTTCCCCTGGACTCTCTCGAGCTTTCCCCATTGCCCTCCTTTCAAAAAATAAGCAGAAGAAGGCAGAAAGCATGGCTGAGAGGCAAGGAGCTTCCCACCTGCATGCCTTTATTGGGTAACACACTCACATGCTCCAGCACGCTGGCTGCTCTTTTGAACAAGCTAATTACCTGCATGACTAAAGTGACATTTGGATTTGACCTGAACTCATGGCAGAAGAAAGGTTTTCAGTCTTCAGTGCGGAGATGGTGCCACGAAGTTCTAAAACTCCCTTGGAAACATACTAGTTTTTAACAAAGCTTTTTTCACAAACTATACTTTTTTGTCCTAATTTGAGCCTTCATCCAAAAGTTGGCTATAGGGCCTCCCTGGTGGTGTAGCGGGTTGAGCGCTGTGCTGTGAAGCTGTCTGCAGCCTCTGCAGCACAGGTTCGATTCCCAGCCAGCCATGGAGAAACCCACATGGCGCAGCAGACCTCTCCTGCCTCGTCCGCTGCTCCCCTCAGCAGTGTCTTTGGTCCTTCTGCCTGTTCTGCTCCCCACTCTGTCTCTGGTGAATCCTCTCACCCTCCTGAGCCTCTGACCTGTACCTCAGTTCTTGTATAAATAAATAAATCTTAAAAAAAAAAAAGTTGGCAATCATTGTGGCTTGTGGGTCATCAAGTATAAAGCCATGTGAAATAATGGGGACAGAAGACTTTTAGTCATTTTTATAATTTCTAAGATGGTAGAAGCAAAATGTGAGTATTAGCTTCATTTTATGAGAAAAATGGAGCTTCCAGCAGCCAGAGTTTAAATGTTAGAGACGGAGGCAGGGTCACAGTTGTACAGTTGAATTAGGGGACAAGTACGCCCCTCTGGGGAACTCTGTGCCCCTGCCCTCTGTTCCTCTGTCCTGATGACACAGTTCCTCACAGTTCTCTTAAGATGCAAAATGCTTTCTTTCAAAAAATAAAAAAGGAAAGCCTTTCATTATATTCATCTAGTGCATGTCAGCACAATTTAATTTCAATACATGATCATCTCCAAGTTATTTTGGGCAAGGAATTAAAATGCAAGAATCACATTTGAAGCTGTAAATGTGCACCGAGGGTGTGAGTGAAGAGGGGGAAGGATGACTGCAGAGGGGAGCTATGAACAAGCAGGCTTGTGCTCAGTAAAGTGGGATTTCAAAAATAAACTCAGGAGCCAGGAGCAATGTGCACTAAAGCTGGTAAGTGTTAGGTTTCCTAAAAATGAACTGGAATAGTTTTAGCAGAAGGTATCTGCTGTGGAGATGCCTCTGGGGTGTGGTAATAGAATATTGGGTCCTTAAAAGGATAGAGTTTCCTAGGAGAGTCGCTTCAAACCAGGCATCAGCGCCTACTGTACTCAGAGTCCTATTGCAAATAGAAAATTTAAGAGATTTGCATTTTAAATAATACAGAAAAAAAGGTGACTTTGTGAACAGGATTTAGAAGAATGATCTTTCATGTTGTAAAGGTAACTGATTGAAGGAAGTTACTAGGAGAGGGAAATGACATGAGCTTTCCTTTAGCTCTTTAGTATAAGGACAAGTCCTATATCATCTGCCTGTTAACTGGAAACTTAATGATCTAGGGAGAAATGTGGTGTAACTGCATAGAAGTTAGCTACTCCCCCTAAAATATGAATTGACACAAGAGATGCTGATAAGACAGATGATATTTGTTGTATGACCTTAACCACATTCCCATAGACATTCATCATATAAAATGTCTCATGTGGCACAGAAATTATGTGGGAACTTAATGATAGCCGACAAGTATGTACCATGTGTTCTGAAAGTGGAAAATGGATTTAGTGTTACTTCTGTCACCATCTGTACTGGGTTATCCTATTCAAGGCTAGATGGCTTCCAAGCAGTCATGTATCTGAGCATATGCTGTGAAGGACCTTCACCTATATTTCTTCTTATCTATGGAATGTGTAAAAGTTAAATGACAGAGCAAACCAATAGCCGATAAACAAATACAGTTTATATATACACTGCATTCAGTTTTTTCCTTTTTTTTACAGAGAATACCTGTAGCTGCTTTACCTGGTTTTCAGGAGTACTGAAATTTAGAAAGATTTATAGTCTGGACAGTGAGCTTTAAAAATCTTCTTTTAAAATGGCAAATATTTTTGAGAACAGGCTAGATTTATTTTTGAAAGCCACACTGCATATCTGAAACAATACGCACTGGCAACAAATCCTCTTCTAAACACAGCAAGTGAAACCATTGTGCAAAGTCTGTGGGATCCACAACACAGATTTCGGGAATACAGGACTGCCCCAAACCCGTGTGTTCCGAATCCAGGATGCTCAAAGATGTCAAGCTTGGAGAGCGAACTTATCAAACTGTCAGCTTGATTGCTATATTGACAATTTAGAAATGGGTTCTGCTCCTGCCTACACTTATCTTTCTAAAATATAGTCTTAAAATGAGGTGTGTACTTATTCCTAAGACACCAGCTCTGTAGGCTGAATGTCATAGGATATCTTACTAATTTTAGAGAATATTCTCATTTCCAAAAGTAAAATAAAATCCTAAAAGACTTGCCTTACTTAAATCATGGTGTGGCTTTCCAAAAGGAAGCTATGACATCGACATTCTATGGCTGACAGGCAAAGGGACACCAGAAGGCCTATGTCAGGGGTGGTGATGGCCTTGCTGGAGGAACAAAGAAATGATCCTGGAGGGAAGACCAGGAAGGAACCTCCCTAGTAACAAGTTGCCTGGAGTGACTGTGAGTGGTCAGCCAAAACTGGATATGATCACTCTGGGAATACTTCATAAGAATACACGCTATTTTTACCCCCTAAAATTTCCACCCAACAACTGGTCCATTCATGAGAACACAGGCACACAGAAGATTTTTATCAAGCACTGCATTTTGAGGCCAAACAGGAAATGGCTAACTTTCCTCTGATAGAATTTGGGAAGTGTTGAAATGAACCATTTCAATGATCAATACTATGACTCAGTTGCATGAGTAATCAAACCTAAAAAGAACGCCAGCCCCTTTCTATTACCTGGGGTGCACTTTCTTCTTCTCAAGGTGTCTAAGTCAAAGGCTCTGGTCTTTTTTAATCACTTGGCTTATTCCTTCTCCCTTGCTGCCCAGCAATATGCTGAAACTAACCATTGCACCTGTATAAAACAGGCAGCATGTGTGGGGTAAGGGAGCACACTTTTCAAAAGGCTCCCATATAAATGCAGGCAGTGTGGGTATTTGTAATCATGAGGTTATTTTTCCTGAGTTCAGTTCCTTACTGATTAACACATTTCCTTGAGGCCTTGTGAATTTACAAATGTGACAAACTGAAAGAAATAGAAGGTACACTGTGTAAAATCCAGCCAAGGGATAATTCTAAAACTTCATTACTTTAATGTGAAAATCTAACTTGTGTATCACTCAGGCATGGCTGCAACTATGCAAACTGCCTGAAGCAGAGAATATAAGCAGCAGAAAAACGACTCCTGACCCACTTAAAATAGTTTGTGAATCATTTGTGTAGCTGAAGATGATGTATTACCAGCTACCTTCCCTGACTATGACCCTATCTGAGCACAGCTCAGCAATATCCACAGCAGGCGCTAATAGCCTGACTTCAACTTAATTTAGCACTTTCTTTACTAATGGGCAGCAATACCACTCAAGCTAGAGCAGTCACTGTGACCAGATCTTTAGTGGCAAACTTGAAAATTAGTTTTTGGCAGAAATTACTTTATCAGACCTGAAATAACCTCATCTTTCAAGTTTAGTCTTTAAGTTCCTCTTAAAATTTATTCATCACCCCTGCCTAAACACACATCACACAAACACGAAAGTTATCTACAAACTTTGCAATGAAAAGACCTATGTAATAGTTTCTAGTATTAGAAATTCTTTAAAATTTCTTTCTTTTCTCTGAAGCCCATGGAACACACTGATGCAGTAAGGACCTCTGATCAGACTGATTTTCGGGTGAGTTTAGTCATCTCCACTCTTTGCACTGTTCTCTGGTAACTAGCAATGTCCTTACCTGCTCTATTTTCCACAAGAGTTCTTTCTTTTGCCGTTCCCACTCCTGCCGGTCCCTGTCCAGACGGTCGAGAAGTTCCACCTTCTCCCGGTTCCAATTCTTCTCGCTGTGGTGGATCTGCCAGCGCAAGTCCATGACCAGGCCGTGACTGTCAGCAAGGAGCTTCTGGTGGGTTTCTCTCTCCTTCTTAAATGCCCCCTTGCTATCCACAGAGCAGCCTTGCTCCCCCAAGTTCTTCTCAGTCTTCTCTTCTAGCTGTCAAGGGAGAAAGACTTAAGAGCTAGTCCTTGACAAGGCTTGCATTAGCAGGTGAAGAATTCTCACCATATTTACCTATTATCCTTGGAAACATGTTTAAATGAAGATTTGACTGACCCTATGGAAGAACAACTTTCATCTTTATTAAAATCCTAGTATGGACATTTGACAGAGTTACACAGAATATTATGCCATGAGTGCACTTAGCGGGCATGGGAGTAGCCTGCTTTTCAGCTCCACTGTCCTAACCTGAATCACACCACCAGTTGCATGACCTCCTTCAGAGCTCCTTCAGGACAGGTGCAGGTCTGTCCCTATAGCCTTAGTTCCCATATAAATTCTAGTGAAGGGGCAGTGATGGAACTTAGCAATTTACAAAAAATATTTGCAAAACACCTAGGGGGTTAAATATCAAAACAACTAAGCAAAAAATTCTCATCTAGGTTTATCATATTAAAACTGCTAAAAACCAAAGAGAAACCCATAGGAGCAGACAGAGAAAAAAGACACTAAGTGCAGAGTTAACAATGACAGCAGACTTCTCACAACTATGCAAGTTGAGGGACAATGGAAGGTGGCTTTGAAGGACTGAAAGGGGGAAATGTCAACCTTGTTAGAATTCTATACTCAGTAACAATATTTTTCAAAAATAAAGGAAAAGTGCTTTTTAAACAAATGAAAATTAAATCACTGCTGGCAGACCTGCACTTTGAGAAATGATAGAGGACGTTCTCAGGTAGAAGGGCTGTGATACTAGCAGATTTCTATTTACAAAAAGAAAAATACAGTAGTAAAGAATACTGGAAATGGTATCACTTCCCCTATATTAATTGTTTTAAAATATCACTGAGTGTCTAAAGTGAAAATAGTGACAGCATGTTACGTGTTTATAGAGCATAAAGAAGAAAACTGTTTGACAGCAATAGTATAGAGAATGGGAGGAAGGAATTGGGGAACTACTGTCATTGCAGAATATGATAAATTTTAGTGAAAGACCAGTGAACATAAAAGCTATACCTTTTCTTATCTAATTCAGCAGGTCACTGAGTTCAAATCATGACACATGCTAATCTATTCAATTATAATGGTTTCTAATCTAGTCTCTACCTTGAAATCAGAATGAACATTCTCGAAAGCAAATCAGAAAGTTTTACTTGCTTGATAAATCCAGATGAAGATTTCAAGTCTTTGAGCATTTTTCCCTCATAGTTAAGTAGGTGTAGCTCCTCAGACTGACTTGCTCTTTTCTTCATAATGTTCCTTTTTGTTTGTTTATTTTGAAATGTCCTTCTCTTCTTCTCCATATACCCATCCCAATCACCCTCTAAGATTCACGCTAAACAGGAATTTCAAAAACAACCCTTCTGAATCCTTGAGCTGAGGAACAAGCCTTCAGTTTCTGACAGAAGGTCTGGCAGGCATGTCTCACACTATTGTAAATTACAGTTGACCCCTAAACAAAGGGGGCATAGGGAACTGACCCCCATGCAGTTGAAATTCCCTGCATAAATTCTGACTTCCCCAAACTTAGCTACCATGAGTCTGCTGTTGACTGGAAGCTTTATTGATAATAAAGTCAATTAAAACATATTTTGTATGTTATCCCTATGATACATTCTTACCATAAAGTAAGCTAAAGAAAAGGAAAAGGGATTAAAAATAGTGAGAAAAATGCATCTATAGTATTGTGTTTATCAATACCCTAGTTTATATAGCCTGTTTACAAGAAATTCGTGTACAAGTGGCCCCATGAGGTCTGAACCTGTGTTGTTCCAAGGTCAACTGTATAGCGTGTTTCAGGCCTCCTACTATACTCAAAACCCCTTCAGGAAAGATCTTATTTAAAAACAAAAAGATATCTGTTGTTGGATCCTTCATATTTAGAACAAGATCTGACTTGGGAATCAACTGAAAGAACACAGATTTGGGAATTGATAAAAAATCGATTCCCCTGAGAAAATATTTAACCTTTGCTAGAATTTAACTGTTTTGCATTTAAATAAAAGAGGGCAAAGTTGAGACTATTATAGATGAACTAGCATCAGCCTACACTCATTGCTTTCTGAGATGCAAAGATTTAACAAACCTCTTTGGGAAGGAGATGCATTTTTACCTATTACCACCTAGCCTCTAGGTGTAAAGTCCTAGCTTTATTTCTTGCTGCCTAGTGATTCCCTGAGGCTTCTTTTTTTTGTTTTTGTAGCAAATGTGTGGGTGGATACCAGGTTTCTCTAAAACAACGGAATGTTTTGAAATTGGCTTACATCAAAGATGCCTCCCTTCTTTAGAGTCTGAAAATATTTAGCTTTCCCCCCATAAACAAGTTTTTAAATAGGTTTAGAGGCAGCTCATCAGAAAATGTTCTTACTCATCCCTCCTCCACTGCTGACTCTTCAGGCTGTGTATGGCACCCAGATAAACAGAGCACCTCCTAACAGGGGCTGGCAGGCTGCATAACTGGGTCAGTGCCTCTGTCCTCTGATGGGCCTGGTGGTGCTTGCTTTGCTATGCCTTTGCTATGCTGTAGCTCTGCTTTATCAGGGCTGAGAGCCTGGCACCACAGTTCACGGGGCCAGCTGGCAAAGCAAGTGAACTTGTGGGAAATGAGAGAACAGGGAGCTGTTTTCCTTTGACAAGACAGATCCTTTCATCTTTTATCAAGGCCATTTGGAATATATCTCCTTCCTGGGCACATTTTTCTTTGGTAACCCAACCAATTCATATAAAATTGTAATTACTTTATGGTTTGCCCGGAAAGAGGGCCTAGGAAATAGACTGGCAAAGATGCATAGGCCTTTCCTTCCTTGTCACCATCAGGGACCAGAAGAAACCTGGAGTAAGGTTCTGAGCAAGCAGACAGGGTCATCCCTGCTTTTAAGACTGTCCAGGGAGAAAATACTGAGAAAAAACCCACTTCTTTAAATTTGATTGTCAACCACGGCTGTGGTCTAAGATATCCAAAGACACTGCTCTGCTGAGAGCAGGGAGGCAGGAAACCTGCTCTGCTCTCCACGCCAGCACAGAAGGCTCTGTGATCTCCTGGGCCTCATTTCAGTGTAAATAAGGATGAAGAGAATGATTAAACTTCGAGGGCATGCGAGGTCTATGAGCTCTTTCTGCTATTATGAGAATGCTAAGAAAGCATGCATTTACCTTTTTTCAGAGAAAACTAAAGCACAATCTGCTTTTTCCTTGCTCCTGTCTGAATTATGTCCACACATTCTGATCATCCTTCATGCTGGGCTACCCGATGGGGCTATAAACAGCCTTGTTCCGTGCAGAATGGGAGGATAAGTGCCACTTAAAATTGGAGACCGTGTTTCATACTTGGGAGAAGACAACCAGAGAGGTCTTCCCAGAGGGCTGGGAAAGACCGGGAACTTTAATAAGCGAACCCAGGCAGCAGCTCTGGCATGCTCCTCTGGTGCCTCTTCACTTGGAAGAGGGTCACAGTGGCTGAGTCACAAGGTCACTTCCCTCCTTGTCCCTGACAACAAACAGAGGGCAGCGGGCCTGCAGGGCGCGTACCTGCTCCAGACGGCACCTGAGTGCCGCCCACTCCACGTCCCAGGCAGCCTTGTCGCTGGCATACTGCTGCTGCAGCCGCAGCCTGGCGCGCTCGTCCTCCCGCAGCTCGGTGCGCAGGTCCTCCAGCAGGGTCTTGAGGGCGCCGAACAGCTGCTGGTTTTCCACCACCTGTGGGGACATGGGAGTCGGCGCTGGCACCTCCTGTAAGGGTCAGAAGAAGACAGTAGCCTGGCAATCAAGATGATGCGGGGCCGTTTTCAGTGTGCCATGGGAGATAGGCACAAAGCAGCTGGGAAGGCTGGGTGGGTGATGCCCAAGTGGGTTCCCGTGTCTGCCACTGGGCTGTGGGGGCCGAGACTTCTAGGGTTTGCCTAGAGGAATAGGAGGAAGGCTGGAACTCAGGATGGCACTATGAGCACCTAAGTCACAATGTGACCTGGGCCCAAGACGCAGAAGGGAGGGGACTGTAGGCATCCACTGGAAACTCTGGAAGACATGCTGTGTGAGCTCAGAGATGGCCCCTCTGGCTGGGGGCACAGATATAACAAGACATACACTTCACGTGTGCATGCTGTCATCTGAGCGTCAGCTTTTGAACCAGATGATGTTATAAAAACTTTGTGACTCTTAAAAACTTAGGATGATGAGATTCTGGCTTGTAGTCACTAAGAGATCATATATATGAAAAACATGGCCACAGTGGGGAGGGACAAGGATACTTTTGAGATTTAATAATTAAAGCTAAAGATAAAAACCCAATCATGAAGGTTTACTCATGGTCCCCCAAGACAGAATCAATGTCCCAAGCCCCACTGTAAGTGTTGGGAGGAACAAAGACTGACCTATTGTGCCAGTGTTTTGCATAGTACTTGGCTCATGTAAAGCATGTGAACAGGCCTGATAAATGCAAGTAGATTTTTACTAGTGATCTGCTTACACCTAACTTTATATTTTTTTAAACCTGTCCAGCCCATGTATTTCAAAACCACAACTGCTATTTTCATTGCACATGGGTGTTATATCAGAAAGGTATGTTTAAATGAATATACACATGGAATCAATTATGGTACCTAGATAATAAAAGCTGATAATCCCATTTCTCCCAATTAGAGAGAAAGGAGGGATTAAAAACTCGGTCTTGCTGGATGCAGATCTTTCTACTCTGTCGGGACAGAGACACTGATCTCTGATGGAACCTCCACTTGGTGGACCTCCAGGTCAGGGCAGCAAGGTGAGTGCTGCGGCTCCCCACTGGAGCTCTGCAAGTACATCAACCCTCTCTCTTTTATCTGAACTCAGTCCTGCTTCCAGAGCCATCTAGTCAGTCCAGCAAACACACAAGTGCACATACAAAAACATATGGGAAGAATTTTACATATTTGGGTTAAAATAAAGTTAAATTAAAAAAGAGAAATACCTTAACATAAGCAGAGTACTGAAAATTCCATAATCTTTCCATAATATAGCTAAAGTTATATTAGACAGAGTAGACTTTTGGTGGCATAGAAAGACCTTCAGGGGTACTTGTTGCTCCTTGATTTTTCTCTCCCTGAATGCCAGTATTCACTTGAATAATTCTGAGATGAAAAGCACTAAGAGTATGAATTATCCCTGATTTAGGATGGCTCAACTTTGATTTTTCAACTCAAAAGCAAAAGCAATATGCATTCAGAGGACACCATACTTCAAAGCCTGAATTTTGATCTTTCTACAGGTTGGTGACTGTATTTAATATATTACGTGAGGTATTCAGCATTCTGGTGAGATGATTTTGCCCAATTGTAGGCTAATATAAAGTGGCCTGAGCATATTTAAGGTAGCCAAGGCTAAGTTATGATGTTTGGCAAGTTATGTGTATTAAAATACTTGTACTGACTTTATGTTTAACTTTGATAGGCTTATTTGATAGGTTTGATAGGCTTATAACCCACCAGAAAATGAAGAAGATCTGTACAATTCAGTTAACAATTGAAAAATCCAATAGAGAAACTTTGAGTAGTTCCACAATTCTTTTTCAGCTATCTGAATGTAAATCTGAATTTAATTACCAATGTACTCAGAGATGTTCATGAAATGTGTGAAATTGTAGTAAATACATGTTTTGTAAAACAATACCAAAAGTATTTAAAAATTATACACATGCAAATGAATGAGAGGAGGTGCTATAACAATCTTTTCAGAAATACATATCTTCATAAATGTTGTTTTTTTCATCTTTGGATTTGAAATTTAAAATTTTTTACAAAAAACTATCAAAAATAACAAATGAATATAGTAAAATGGCAGGATACAAAATCAATACACAAAAATCAGTGGCATTTCTATGTACAAACAATGTATCAGAAGAAAGGGAAATACAGAATATAATCCCATTTACAATCACACCAAAAAGAATGAAATATCTGAGTAACAAAGGAGGTAAAGGACCTATAAATTGAAAATTATAAAATCATGTTAAAGGAGATAAAAGACATAAAGAAATGAAAAGATATCCATGCTCATGGATTAAAAGAATTAAAATCATTAAAATGGCCACATTACATAAAGCAATTTACAAACTCAATACAGTTATTATCAAAATAGCAATGATTTTATTCAAGTAAATAGAACAAGTAATCACAAAATTTATTTTGTGATTAAAGAATCACAAACGTCTTTTAGATAGCTTTAGATTTCTTTAGGTAGCTACCTAAAGAAATCCTGACAGATAGGTTTCTTTAGATAGCTAAAGAAATCCTGAGAGGAAAAAATAAAAATGGAGATATCACCCTTCTTGACTTCAAACTATATTTCACAGCAATAGTAATCAAAATAGTGTGGTACTGGAACAAAAACAGAAACTCAGACCAATGGAATAGATTTGAAAGCCCAATGCCAAACCCATCAAATATGGACAGTTAATCTTTGACAAAGGTACTATGGCCATGCAAGGGAGAAAAGGTAGCCTCTTTAGTAAATGGTATTGGGCAACATGGACAGTAACCTGCAAAAAACTGAAACAAACACATCACCTAAAGCAAAGAAAGTGAAGGAAAAGATAAACAAGTGGGACTACATCAAATTAAAGAGTTTCTGTACAGCAAAAAGACATTAATCAAAACAAAGAGACACCCCATTGATTGGGAGAAAATTTTTGCACTCCATACAAGGGACTGATCACAAAGACCTACAAAAAACTCACACGACTCAACAAAAACAAAGTAAACAATCCAGTCAAAAAATGGGCAGAAGAACTTAAAAGACACTTCTCCAAAGACGAAATGGAAATGGCCAATGGGCATATGAAAAAATGTTCAACATCCCTCAAAATCAGGGAAATAAAAATTAAAACCACAATGAGATACCACTTAATACTAGTTAAGAATGGCACATATTTAAAAAATAGCAACTACAAATGTTGGCGAGGATGTGGTGAAAAAGGAACTCTTCTACACTGCTAGTGGGAATGCAAACTGGTCTAACCACTATGGAAAGCTGTATGGAGGTTCTTCAGTCTGCTAAAAATGGAGCTACCATAAGACCCAGCAATTCCACTCCTAGAGATCTACCCAAAGGACACAAAAACATTAATTCAAAAGAATACATGCACCCCTATGTTTACTGCAGCAATATTTATAATAGGTAAGCTATGGAAACAACCCAAATGCCCAAAAATAGATGGCTGGATCAAGAAGATGTGGTATATATACACAATGGAATATTATTCAGCAATCAAAAAAGATAAACTAATGAGATTTGCAGTAACATGGATGGAGCTTGAAGGAATTACGCTCAGTGAAAATAAGTCAGAAGGAAAAAGAAAAACACCAGATGGTTTCACTTATAGGAGGAATATAGGGGGTCAAGGGGAAAACATAACAACATAAAAACCAACACAACACAACACAACAAAACAAAAATAAACGACAGCTATAAATCAGAAACATTCTGCAGGGGAAGGGGAGGGAAAGGGATCAAAATAAGGGCAGGAAGAACACAAAGCACTATGGTGATGATGCATGGGTGAACTGGTTGGTGGTGGGAATTCTATGGGGACTACACCTGAGAGAAGAAAGCAAAAACTGTAAGAAAAAAAAATAGATAAAAAAAAAACCTGAAACAAGACCCATATTTAACTCCATACACAAAAATCAAATCAAAATTGATAAAAAATCTGGATATAAAAACTGAAACCATAAGGTACTTGAAAGAAAACATAGGGGACTCTCTATAAGATATCAACCCCAACAGCAAGGGAAACAAAAGTAAAAATAAACCACAAAGCTTTTGTAATTCAAAAGATACCATCACAAGAACAAAAAGGCAACCCACAGATTGGGAAAAAATATTTTCACATCATACACAGGAAAAGAGGATAATTTCCAAAATATACAAAGTTCTTATACAATCCAACAACAATTAAAAAAAACAAACAAGCCAATCAAAAAATGGGCAAAGGAGCAAAGTAGACATTTCTCTAAAAAAGACAGTCAGATGGCCTACAGACATATGAAAAATTGTTCAACATCACTGATTATAAGGGAAATGCAAATCAAAACCACAATAACATACCACCTCACCCCTGTGAGAATGGCCCATATAAAAAAGAATGGAATCAACATATGTTGGTGAGGCTGTGATGGAAAATGAATCTCATTCACTGCTGGGTACAGCCCCTGTGGAAAGTGATATAGAGATTTTTTTTTTAAGAAAATAAAAATGCAAATTCCATATGGCCTGGCAATACCTCCATTAGGTATTTATTCAAATAATATGAAAACTCTAATATGAAAAGATTGATCTGTACCTATATACATAGCAGCACAATTATCCGGTCATGGAACCAACTCAAGTGCCCTTCAACAGAAGAATGGAAAAAGAAATTGTGGACTTTATACTCAGTGAACTACCAGACAGCTATGAAAAAAAGATGAAATTTGGTACAAAATGGATGGATCTCAAGGTGATTATGTTACGTGAAATAAATTAAAAAGTGAAAGATATCCAATGGTTTCACACCTTTATGGAATACAAATAACCAAAAATCATACACAGGAAAATACAGTAGGAATAAATCTTAAACTCAGTGAAAGAATCTGATGGTTCTCAGGGGGACCAGGGAAGAGGAGGGAGGGGATAGAGGAGGGAGATAGATGAGGTATTAGCATGGATGATTTTGGCGAAGGTGA